TTTCTCCTTTGTTTGTTAATTTTAAAGCTCTGACTCACGAAAAAAAAAGCATAAAAATATCATTTTTCTCCATTTGGAAGCAATAAAATTTGCTATTTTTGTCAAGTTGCTTAGCATCAAATCAAAATCCTGCACATTATAGTAGAAACGTGAGGAATGGCGGTGGTTGTGTGTTGGTTGTTTTGTTTGTTTTTTGCATTTTCTGTAATTATTATTATCATTATTGTTTGGGGTGAATTTGCCACATTTTAGCTGCGTGTGCGGCTATAATGTTGGGCACGCGCAGGGCAGGTAGGTGGAGCTCGTGCGCAGCTGGTGTGCCTTCTCGGAGAGAGAGAGAGCGCGCGAGGGAGAGAGAGAGAGAGAGAGAGAGCGAGAGGGGGGAGGCCGCCGGGTACAGAGCGGAGGTTACCACAGGACACTCCGGCTGCTTGGACCTCCACAAACCAGCAACAAGCGGCGGACGCGGACGAAGCGAACGACCGTCTCGGATACACACCACCAACCGCCACCACCACCACCGCTACCGGGCCGCTTGCTTTCAACCCCCGGACGTCGCGCTTCCTCCGGACAACTTCACAGCCACATATGACAGCTCGCGTTCAGTATTAATGTGCGCTGCTGCTGCTGCTGCTTCTTTTTTTCTCTCCGCCGTGGACTCTGTGAACCGGGAGACTGGAGCCCCCTCGCTCTCCTTTTTTTTTTTTTCACCACTTTTCTTTCCGGCTGCATTCACTGACGGTATGCGGGGGGATTTATAACCAGGAGCCACGTTAAGGAAGCAAGTTGTTTGTTATAATAAGGCTAAAAAAAGAAGAAGAAGCCGAGCTGCTGTGGAGAAGCGGAGGCTGCTGGATCCTCCACGCCGGGCTGTGATGGTGTAGAAATGTAACATCAGGCCGACGCTGCTCCTGTCTTATTATTATTATAAGATATTTTTATTTCTAAGGGCTACAACTCCTGCAGCACTTGTAGCATTTGGACTATAAAATAACCCGAGCAGGGCGACACAAAGGACGGCAAAGTTTGACTGCTCGTCCCCCTCCTCCTCCTCCTCCTCCTCCTCCAAGGGCTGAAAGGTCACCGGGACCGGTCATCTCCTCCCCCTTCCTCACCCTCCTCCTATCAGTCTGTTATGAAGATGTGAACTCTCCCCTCCCTCCCTCCCTCCCTCTCTTCTGTCTCTCCTCGCCCGCCTTTGATCTTCTTTTTTTTTTTTNCAGAACTGAAACAGAAAAATCAAGCAGCGAAAGTGAAAAATTCTGAACTGGAAGCACAAAAATTTAGAAGTGAAACTGAAAAATTAAGCAGAAAAACTTGAGAAATGCTCTTTGAATTAGTGAAAAAAAGGCAAGAACATTGTGAACTGTAGCGCTATTGGGCTGCTTTAGATTTATATCACAGTTTCTGTCTATGAGCTCAGTTTATCCCTTCAAGTCTTGTTTTGGAAGATAAATGTATGAGATTGAAAAGTACAAACATGCACTTTGAAATGTTGTGCAGTAGAGCTGTACAGTATTATATGGAACTACTCGAGTGAAGTACAAATGCCTCAGAGCTATACTTAGTGCAGGACTTGAGTGGATGATGTACTCAGTATGTACGTCGTATACAGAAGCCTGCAGGTGAGTGCACAGATAGGTTATGAACTGTACAGGTAAATATATCTCCTTACAAGTGTAACACATGGTTTTCAGTATATTCCATTTTCATATCCAGTTGTTTAGTGTCAAATTACTCTTAATAAGGCACTTTATTTTCATGTGTAATGCAGCATTTGCTCTTGTGACAGGAGCGAGTAGAATCACATAGATCATACATGACAATTTCACTTTGACATGAAACAAGCTTCCAAGGAGGATGATATTTTTTATTTAGGCACCGTGTTTCCAGTTCCTCATAAGCTCTTGTGTGCCAGTTTCTCCACTGTGCATTAATTTTAAAGACGTAATTGTTCACAAAAAGTGCAAAAATTGAATTTTGTTTTTCTCCATTTAGAAACAAAAATGTTTTTTACCAGGTTGTTTAGCATCAAATCACTCTTAAAGCTGTTTATATTAATATTTAATTCAGTATATTCTCATGTGAGCAAAGCAGCAGCCAGTCCTGCAGATCATACACGGTAATATTCTTACATAAAAGACATCTGTTTTGATGTTAAAAAGTCTTTTTTTAAAGATCCTTGTCAAGTAAACTTTCCAAGAGGGATACAGGTATTGTATTTTCAATTCCTCATAAGCTCCTACCAGCCAGTTTCTCCATTGTTTGTTAATTTTAAAGCACTGACATAATTATCCACAAAAAAATGTAAAAACTGAGTTTAATTTCAACTAAAAATTTGCAGTTTCTACCAGTTTGTTTAGCTATTTTAACTATTTTTAAGATACTTGTCAAGTAAAACTTCCAAGAGGGATACTGTGTTTTCATCTCCTCCATTGTTTGTTAATTTTAAAGCGTTAATATGATTTTCGACAAAAAAAATTTAAAAATTGACTTTCATTTC